TTGTAATGCATTACTTTTAAAAGTAACTTTCCCCAACACTGGTCATTGTGTCTTTGGCAGCTCTGATGCACGCTCTGGTCTTTGGCAACGTGACGGCCATCATCCAACGCATGTACTCGCGCTGGTCCTCTTACCACACACGCACTAAAGACCTGAAGGACTTCATCCGTGTGCACCACCTGCCCCAGAGCCTCAAACAGCGCATGCTGGAGTACTTCCAGACCACCTGGTCTGTCAACAACGGTATCGACTCCAATGAGGTAAACCCCACACTTCAGAGAGTATTACACAGCACAGCTGAATCATTTGACGCTGCGGAATTCCTTACAGCTGGAATGTGCAAGATGATGTGCCAACTTTACAAGCATACAGTGTGCTTCCCTACTGCACTCCGGTGTTTCATATAGTGTTACATATTGGTGCAGAATAAGTGAGTTACATTAAACTTTTAAAGTCACCTCTAAAATCACTTCTGTCATGACAACTCTCGGAGAGTTTAACATGGTAATGTACATGACAGAGTTAATGTCTTTGGTCCTGGTGGAACAGATCTGCTACGCTGCTGCTGCGGCAGAGCAAGTACCGAGACTTGCTACTGCCAGAATATCCACAGACATGCTGCTGTGAGCATGTAAGCATGTAAACATATATGAAAAAAAAACATATATAACATACATGCAATCACCCTGTAGCAGATCTATACAGGTGGAGCTGGGGAAGGTGGAGGGTTTCTGAAGCGTGCTGCAACTGCTACAAGAAGCAATGGCCGAGTTTTTGAATGTTGAGCAGCAAGCTCATTGGCTGCTGATGTGAAAAGAAACCAATCAGCTACGCCATGTGAATAATGATGTGATTATATGAGATTGAGTTAGAACCAATTGGACTGTGCCATCTAGAGTTTCATGACAAAACTTTGTATAAATTTCCTATTAAAAAAAATACAGTTAAGCTGATAATTAGTTATCTGATCTTCACTCATGTAGTGAGAAATGTGTAGCTTAAAAGTTAGTTTGAAGTAAAATATAAATAAATAATAATAATAGTACAATAATATATATATATTTTTTTTATTGGTATTATTAATATTTTTATTGGCCATTATAAATTTTAATTTTACTGTATTTTATTTTAATTCAATTCAAGTTTATTTGTATAGCGCTTTTCACGATGCAAATCATTGCAAAGCAGCTTTACAGAAAACTAAAGTTTCTACATTATATTTAGTAATAGCTTATCAGTGGTGAATATCTCAAGTTGATGTCCATATGGCAGAAATGTACGGTAAAAATCAAGCAGTTAGTTAATGTCATGTATTTAAGCAGACGGTGAACACTATTAACAGTAATGATTATATGTTGCGATAAAACTTATAGCACCACACTTCAGAGAGTATTACACAGCACAGCTGAATCATTTGAAGTTGCGGAATTCCTTACAGCTGGACTGGTGAAGATTATGTGCCAACTTTACAAGCATACGGTGTGCTTCCCCACTGCACTCCGATGTTTCATATAGTGTTACATATTGGTGCAGAATAAGTGAGTTACATTAAACTTTTAAAGTCACCTCTAAAATCAACTCGCAGAGAGTTTAGCATGGTAATGTACATGACATTTACATTTACATTTACATTTACATTTACATTTA